AGAAGAGATGGACAGCGCCGAATTGCTCTCGTTGTCTTTTGGAAACTTTCTTCTCCTCACGTTTGGTTGGAGGTTGAAAGTGAGGTTGAGATTTGAGTATTTCAGTGGGTTGTTCTTCATTTTGGCTTCATGGGCGATACGTAACATCTTGTAGTTCGATTTAGTGCCTCATAATTAACGTGCTTTGTATATTTGAGTGTACGTACTCACGCGCAGTCTGTTATTTTGGTGGAATTTTTGCTATTTGATCTTTGTCATCTTTTTATGAGTTCTTTAAAATTCGGTAGTGTCACGAAACTTGGGCCTTTTACAAATAATTAATGAAAAATATATATCCCTACGTACTTAACTGTGCTCTTCTTTTTAATCTGAAGGGAGAAGAAGCACATATATATGACACGCCATAAGAATCCCTGTCTATGATTTGGATCCCCTGTTTTCTACTGTATTGTAGACGAATGTAATTCAATATACGCATGTGTTCTATATATGCCATTATTCCCATCTGCAATCATTTAGTGGCTGACCAATATTGCGACGAACTTAATTTTCTATAACGATGCGGTTTTTTTTTCTTTTCAATTCGATGTAAATGTGATTAACGTCATTCCTCACGCATCACTATCATCGATATTTTATATTTACGAATAGGCATGCGTTACATCCCACCTGAAGGGACATAACTTTTGCCGGGGAGACAAAGCGCGCAGCATGGTAACTGTACAATTTTCTAAATAATCTAGAGTGTTCTAGAAGTTTCCGAAACGTTCTGGAAGCTTTTGTTGGGAGTACTGCACACGTGTTCTGAGGATTCACAAATTTGCCGAGATAGAAGGCACAAATCAACTAATAATAGCACAAACTCAATCACAGAAGTTTAACGTGGTCCGACAAATTACCTACGTCCACGGGGCAAAAAGGAGATGAGTTTTCACTATAAAGAAAGAGAGTACAAAAGAGATTACAATGTCACTCAAAAGCTCACAAATAATCTCTCAAACTAAACTTTCAAATCTCTCACAAAATCCCCAAACAAATTGCTCATAAAGAACTCTTTTTCTGTGCTCAAAAATCTCCTTCAAACTACCCCAAAACTCAATTAATACGGTCGTAAACCCTAAACAAATCGTGTTTCTATTTATATTAAATAGAAATCCCAACAGTGCAGGAATTCGAAGCAGGTCCAGACCCGACTCGCGGTCGACCGCCGAAATCCTCGCGGTCGACCGACCAGAAAGACAGAAACATAAAATCAACTATAGGGTTTGGCGGTCGACCGCGACCTGTGTCGAAATCTTCCTTGTTGTGCACGTTTGCGATCGATCGCGACGAACTCGGCGGTCGACTGGAGAGCACTCAAAATGTTCTCAGCTTCAAATTTCCTGAACCTCGTCAATGTGTCTGGAACGTGTTGAATCAACTAGAACATGGTAGAACGTTCTAAAATAGTGTAGAGCGCACTAGAATGTAGTAGAATATAATAGAGTTTGTGGAATGCTCTAAAAATGTATGGAAGAAGAAGAATATACAAAGTTCTAGAGAATTCCTCATATGGAGGATGGAGGCCTACAAACAAGGGAGAGCTCTCAATTGGTTGACCTATCCATCTGATGTTGTAGGCTCTCGTAAGTGCAATACAAGAGTTTTATCTTGCCTCTTTTTTGTCTTGCTCTCTTATTTCACCGGTTAGATCTCTCGGTGGAACAAATTTTCAAAACAGCTCCTTTTGGACTTTTAATCCCAAAAAACGCCCTATTTTGAACTTAATTACAAAAACCGACCTAATTTCAACCTCAGCGCTGAAACTAGGTCGGTTTTTATAAAAAAAAACTTTCGAAACTTCACGGGACTTCAAATCCCGTGAAGTTTAGCAGCTAACTTGTTAAACTGCTAAACTTCACGGGACTTCAAGTCCCGTAAATATTTTTTAACGTTGAAACAAATACTCAAAAACTTCACGGGACTTAAAGTCTCGTGAAGTTTGAGGTTGATTTTTCCAAAAAACCAACTCTCTGGAAAATGTACCCTGTAACTCCATAGAATTTCAAGTCCCGTGGAGTTGCAGTTTTCCAAAAAAACCTGCACATCTGTATGTGCATATTTTTCGTATGCGCAAGGTTCACCTGTGAACAATATGATATTTCATATAAACATATAAACTTTCAGTCATGAGTTAAACACAAATCTAACTTCACACACGAAGATCACATATATAAACAATAATTGATCCACAAAATTATTGATTTGCAACTTTATAAAAGTTACAAATTTTAACAAAATAAGATCACATACAATCCATAATTCCTCCTCTCCTTCCTCTCCCTCTCTTCCCCTTCCCTTCCCTCTGGCCTCGATTATCTGAGTATCCGGTTGTGTATAAGGTTGAGAAGTGCTGGCTGCATCAGCTTGAGAAGTGTCGGCTCCATCAGCATGAAAAGTGCTGGTTCCATCAGCATGAGAAGTTCCTGCTCCATCGTCACGTGTCCTACGTCATCGCGTGTACGCTTGCCCAAATGATCGTGACATGTCCTCACGGCTTACAAACTCGTCGACATGAGTCCGAATTTCTAGCTTTTTTGGAGGAAATTGGTGGAAATGAAATGTTAATGAGATGAGATGAGTTGTCACCATATTATTGGATGATATGAGTGGTTTTTAAAGATGAGATGTGATGGAGATGAGATGAGTTGGATGATGTGACCCGTTTTTTGTGTTTGATTTATTTTTTAGGAGACGACATGAAATGAGTTGTGGGATAAAAATAATATTTTATTGGATGTTGTTTTGAGTTTTAGGAATGGAAATGGATGAAAATAATATTTTATTGATTTCCATGTACCCTTTTCCTTTTCTTGATTTATAGGATAAAAATACGACGTCCGTCGCTTCAAGAATTATTGTGATTGAGAACAAAAACAAGAGAAATCCCAGGCCGCAAATTCTCCCCCCTACGGCGTCTGCAGCGTTCGGACGCGAGAGACGTTGGGAAAGCGGACCGTCCATGGGCTCTCTTTTCTTAGAATATTCCTTTGTTTTTATACGGCTACGAATAATACAACCATCATCACGGACGGTAGTGCGTTCCGAGCGTCGGCCTTTGGCCTTTTGCGGTGATCACGGAACGCGATCTAACACGTCGTGCTGGTCTTCGGACACGTGGACGGATGCTGGATACCGCTGCCGGTACACGTGCCCAAGTTGGTGGACGACCACAAGCACACAATTTATTTTTGGATCTTGTATGGCGACACTTAATTTGCACTTAATTTCCATGATTAAAACTAAGTGGCCTTAATTCTGTCAGTGATAACATTCTTGAGCCAGGTTCACTCCAAAATCCAAGAGTAGGAATGTCTTAAAAGAGGAACTAGAATTTTTTTTTCTTTTTTTCTTTTTTTTCTTTTCTTTTAATTTAAATGACATAACAAAATACACTTTGAGGGGGGAAAAAAGCACTGTCAAAATTTGAAGTTCAATTAGAAAAAACATATTGGCCTATATAAGACACATACAGCTCTGGTGCCGTGTCTCTGTAGAAAATTTTCCATAATCAGTGTATGGAATGGTAAAGAGATGCCAGTCCGGCTGTTGAATGGTGCATCAAAGATTTTACTAAATTTAGAATCTGAACTTTGAACAGTTATTTGCAACTTTGGATGAATATTACATGACCGCCCGTAACTTTCAAAGTATCAAAAAGCCCCTAATTAAGTTAAGAGTTATCAGAAAATCTCTTTTAACTTTAAAATTTTATCAAAAAAAACCCTTCAAACAACCTTGATCGCACTTTTTACATAACCACGTAGAGAGATTTTTTTGCCGGTGAAAACCACGTTGGGAAAGTGTGACCCCTAACTTAAAAGGAGGTGTCTAATATTCTAAAAGTTATTGGGGTTAACTGATATCATCCAAAATTTAAGGGGTTTTCTGATATTTAGTCTAGTATTACCACAAGAGAGGTGTTACAAGCACACTCTAACACACCACCAACCACACACTCTCTCTCTCTCTCTACAGTGCAAGGAGCCCCACATCCACATGTGATTTTTTAAAAAAATCACATATGAAACCCCCTGCACTATAGAGAGAGAGAGGGAGTGTGGTTGGTGATATGCATTAGAGTGTGTCTCTATCATTTCTTTTACCACAAAAGTTACTGTCAGATACTTTCTCAATTATTAGACCAATATTAAAAAAAAAATTAATGTAATAAATTTGCGGAATGAGTGGACACCATCGGTCCCATCACTACCACCAGCAGCCAACACGTGGCCATACGTTGAACCTAATTGAAGTGGCCAGACGAACCATTACCTTCCCACTCACTTCCTTCGTTATTCCACGTGTTCATAAAGGACGATGCAGCCTACGGGCTTCCTTCCAAGTTTAGACTCTTCGTAAGTTTTCCCTATAAATTCTCCATCAAGAATCCGGAGCTCAACACAAGAAACATTAGCTCAATACAAAAACATCTTGAGTTGAAGAATTTAGAAAATTAATGGCCAAAGCGAACAAGTGCAGGTTTGTCACTGAGGTAGCTCCACCTCAGTTTGTGAAAGTAGTGAAGCTGAAAGCATCAAAAATATTGGACCCAATAGCAGAAGAGGAGACTGAGGAGGGGATTGAAGATCTCTCATCATCTTTTGAGAGCATCCCTTACTTTGAGCAATTTATGTGATTTTTACCTCTTTTTTTGGGCAGGTTTTGTAAGTTATTGGCAAGGCTTGGGTCATGTGAGGCAGTTCCATTTTGGGTTCAACCGATTAATGTTAACAAGCATGGTGATGTATAGTTTGAATGTAAATCTCCTTATACTATGTACTCAGCTGAAACCTAATTTTCTGATAAATATACTAATTGATAAACAATCATGCCTGAAAACTGATTGCTCGCTGCCTAAAATTGTGTGCCGTCGGCTTTCCCAGCTTCTCACGTTTCATCGCCAGCGCTCTGCGCACAGGTGCGTAACGGGAGAAAACAGGTTTCATGCTCAGAAGAGATGATACAATCAACTTGAATTGAACTTGAAAACAAATATCATTTACACACGGGGATTAACCTAAAGTTACATCTTGCCGAACAGCTGGCTGGATTTCGTCGATAAAAAATCAAACAGCCATTTTCTCTCTACCTTCCCTCTTCTCAGAGATTCAAATGAGCAGAACCTTGTAGAACCTGATCAAAATTTGATACCGAGGAGGCTAGGCTAAACTTCAAATAACTAGATGTTGAGAAAATAGTTAGTGCTAAGCATTGTCAACCTTGTAGAACTTTAGCAATCACAGAAGAAAGAATGCAGGGAGTGAAGTGAAAAATATAGGAAGTTCAGAAGGAAGTGAACGTGGATGGTAACCGAATTTCCAGGGAAAGCAACACCGGGAATCCAAACCCTTTATATTCTTCCCCATTGATATGGAAGCTTCTTCCCGTTTTCATACCGATGAAGTGCTTATCGAGGAAACTAAACAGGATATTGGATGCCACCTCTGCAGAATCTCCAGGAACCATCATCATGTCTTCTCAAGACGTATTGAACCTTATATTTACTTCACAAATAATGAACGTGTCAGTGTAGTTCAAATTCAGAGCAAACCATGAAATAATCGCAAGGTATCTATAGATTACCTGTAATAACTTGGTTTTCTTGGTTGAGAGTCATCTATAAGCTCAGCAGCTTCCTCCAACAATGCCTCAATTTCAGCCAGTTCATTACCATCTTCATCCCATCCGATGTCAGCTCGCATGACAGAAAGTTGCAACAGAACAAATCTCCAGAAGCATGATCTGGCTTTGGCCGAATTTGCTAAATCTTGCCACTGTTGCATCATAAGAAAGAGGACACACTAAAAACAAGCAAGAGCACAAAAGAAAGTACAAAAGGGAGTGACTCTTCAGAAGGCTAACCTTCGAAAGCATTGATCCATCAAGAATCTCAGGTAGAGTTTGAATTTGATGTGATGGACCTAATGCCTCGGCTTTGATTTCTTGCCATTGCTTTACAAGGGCTTCTGCTTCTTCAAGTGGCATCTGTCTCTTGTATAACAAGGTACTACCGGTCACCAGTGCTGTGGTTGAACACGAGAGATCATCAGTCGGCCATGTGTCCTTCACGGTTGTGGCACCTATTTTATGATTTCTGTTGTGCCTGAACACTGCCAGCAGCTTGCCCAGGGGACCAAGTATTCTCCTATCAGCAAAAGACAAGCTCTGCAAACCTGGGCTATCAGTCCATGCAGCAGAACTTGACATTTTTGAGTGATTTGGTACCCACTTATGAGAGTCCCTAGAGTTCATTATTTGCATGGAGAACAGCTTAAAGGTACCAAAAATAAAGCATCCTACAAGCAAGATATATGGAACTTTTCCTGCCAAGTCTCCCGTCACACTCCAGTTGTCCCAAATCTTTGACTCATGAATTCTGAGATCTCTCTTTAGATGTACTGATGGACCACTACCTGAATTCTTGGTAGATGACTGTTGGCTCTGCAAGTTGCCTGGTGCCAGTCGCTTTACAGCCTCACCCAAAAGTGTTGCGTTTATATGATGTTGGTCATCTGAAGCTCCAAGTTCAGATGAAAGACCAACTGATAGTGGACGCTGACTGAAAGAGTGAACCGCTTTTGATGAGCCTAGATTTTGCTTGTTTCCTCTAAATGTTCGCTTTGGTCCACCAAAGAAGGTCGCCTTAAATATGAACTGAAGTTAGAAGTTTTGTAGCTAAAAAGAGTGATGTCTAATTCCACTGAAAGTACTCACCAAAGATGGTGAGCAATCTCTTGTATCCGGAAATATACAGAGGACAGCATCCTTCAGCCACATTTCCTGGCAATTTCAGCAGGTCATCTGGCATAAGAAAATTTCAACCTAAGGGAAAGTTTCTCTGATAAATGAGAAAGAAGTTACCTGAAATCTACTGACTATTAACATTTTGAATTGAACTTTTAGTCTATAACAAACAAGAAAAGGTAAGTGATACATCTTTTAGCATTTCATTTATTCCATACAATAAAATAATAGTGAAATATATTATTCAATATTCTTATCAGACAAAAAGCAGCGGTATTTTAACCCTCTTAAACGTCCGGGTATTAGCCATTGAGGTGTGAGCCTTGGCATTGGTAAAGTGAGAGACTTACGTCATGTAAGGTCCCATGTTCAAGACCAAGTTGCGGCCTTTGTTCAAAAATAAATATATAGTAAATTAATTATAAAAAAAGGGGCAAATAAAAATACAAAATCAAATAATAGCAAAATAAATGGAATAATAAAAAAATTTAAAACCAGAACAAAACTCCAAGAATTAGTGAGAGATGTTTATTATCAGTCATTATAATATGATCAGTGACAATAATTTGTTAAACAAGAACATTTTGTTTCCCTTTGAGAGGGTATCAATAATCAAGGCTCAAGCTTCTATCATATATCTTTAGGAATCAGTTTTAAGTATCCATAATGCACACTATAGTCATGTAGTAGCCATTATAAAGGCTGGATGAGGAGGGAATGGTGATTGACACAATGAATTGAGTTTGTCTTCGTTGTGAAAACTATGACCTTCTAGTTGTTACCCTTTTCCATTTTTTAGACTCTTCATTCTTTCCCAGTTTAAGATATGAGAAACATGCCTTTATTTTCTTTGAACAAAAACATTTCCCCTGGAAAAACATCTAATTCTTACCTTATGACATTGCAACAAAAGGTTACAACACTAATAATAAGAAATCAATCCATTAGTTTAAACTGAAACACAATAATACCCTCGTCCTTCTCTAAATGCTGAACAGGTTAGTTTTGTGTCCATATGTGATGCAGAACACAATTACTATCTAGACTTGTGATCCGGATTGAACATAGATTTGTTATGATTTTAAATTTGGTTTTGGTTTTAGACAGGTGAGAATTAGTTATTTTGATTTGAATTGTGTTAGTATCGAGTTTGTTGGGTTATTTTCTAATTAAGGTTGAATTGGTTTTAGAGATAGGATAAGTTTTTGAATTTGTTCTAGATAATAATTCCAAACTCTATAAAAGAGGGAGGAGATTTCTATAATGTACTAAGGAGCTTATGAAGAATTTATGAAAGTTGAGTTGAAGAAAATCTTGTGTGATTTTTCTAAGGCAAAAGCCATTGTTTCTTAGTGTGAAGCCGAAAGAGTTAAGTGTCAGCGTGTGAATCCGACTTAACTAAGCGTTAGGTGTCTATGAGTAAATCTGATCTAACCTCATTTTATCTTAATTTATTCGTCTTTTATTTTATAAAAAAATAAAAAATAAAAGAAAAGATATTGTTTGTGAATACTATTCACCCGAGAGTCTCTGCTCTTCTCCGTCCCGTATCATTTGGTACCAGAGCAAGTTCATGTGTGATACGGGTGTATCTTCTCTTCGGAACTTAGCGATCCTCATGGGAGCTTGAGGATAGATGATTCTCATAATAGCATGAGAATAAAGGTGTAAAACAACACAGTGGAACGCAGGTTGAAACGTGGAACAAGACGGCGAATCGAAGAATCGAAGCATCCAGTTTTCAGCCCGTGAGTCGACTCATACATGTACATGAGTCGACTCATCAGGTTGAGTCGACTCATGCTTGTCATAAGTCGACTCACGAAACCCAACCGTTTTGTCAAAAGTTTCTGACCAGTCGACTCATCATTTCATGAGTCGACTCATATATGCACATGAGTCGACTCATGGAGGGTTTCCTGATTTGTTTGGGTTTCTGTTTACACGTTTTCCTGTGGGGTTTACGCTTGGTTATTTACCACTTTATCACCCACGTTATTACACCTATAAAAGGGGTTGTTTAGGGTTTCTAATCAATCAGATGTAATCAAAAAGATATTCTAATCAAGAGAGATTAGGGTTTTAGAGAGAATTGAAAGTTCGTTCTCGATTCTAATGAGATTGTGAGAGAGAGATTGTAATCTTTTCATATCATAATCTAGAGGGTTTTTTCCTTCGCCACATACTGAATTATTCTTGTGTTTCTGTCATCCTCTTCTCAACCCATCTTTGATAATTTCGCGATCAAAAGTGGTCGCATGGCGACTCGTATCAATGTGATATACAAATATTATAGGTAAATATCTGCTTCCTCCTTCACAACTATATGATTTCAATCCATTAAAGTTTGGCCCTTTATCTTATTTTTATGGTTTTGATGGATATGAGAAGTCATATGATTTTGAAGTTTGGATTCTAGATATGGAGGATATATTTCTTATCTATGAAATGTCTGAACTATAAAAGTATTTATATGCAAAGTGTTGGCTCAAGAAAGAAGCTCATAAATGGTGGTCTATTCAGGTTATCGTTCAGCTATTTATTCGTAGGGGCCTATGAAATTTCTTTTGGAAAGGAGATATTTTTCTCAACCAACTAGAAGATATTTTTTCTGTAAATCCTGAAAAAAAGTCAACAACCTCTACCCTAATTAGATTTGGCCTGGCGTCGAAGTCTGAGTTCACTACAAAGTTAGAAACAAAAATAGAAGAAAAATTCGAGATGGAGCCACAATCAAAGCCCGAATCTGAATCTGAACGTGAGCTAGAAAAATATGCATATCAAAAGATCAATCCAGAATCTAAGTCTGAATTGGAACAAGAAAAGAAAAATCCGAAGATAAATTTAGAGCCTGAAGTTGAGCCTTTCATAATGGACTTTGTTACACTAGATACTTCTCCACCAACCTGTTATTGAGTTCTACAAATAGTACTTAAGACTTTAGAGACTATCGAATCAGAATACATAAAAGCTATAGAGTTTATCATATTATCCTTATTTAAAACTCGAAAACTCGAGGTCGAGTTTTCTCCAACAATGGAAGAATTGATGCAGGACATAATCACTATTCAGATTTGATCCGGTTTGAAGATAGATTTGTTATGATTTTAAATTTGGTTTTGGTTTTAGATAGGTAAGAATTAGTTATTTTGTTTAGTTGTTTTGATTTGAATTATGTTAGGATTGAGTTTGTTGGATTATTTCTTAGTTAAGATAGAATTGATTTTAGAGATAGGATAAATTTTCGAATTTGTTTTAGATAATAATTCTAAACTCTATAAAAGAGGGATGAGATTTCTATAATATAGTAGGGAGCTTATGAAGAATTTATGAAAGTTGAGTTGAAGAAAATCTTGTGTGATTTTTCTAAAGCGGAAGCCTCTGTTTCTCGGTGTGAAGCCGGAAAGGTTAAGTGTCAGCATGTGAATCCAACTTAACTAACGATTAGATTCTTGTGAGTGAATCTGATTTAACCTTATTTTATCTTACTTTGTTCGTTTTTTATTTTATAAAAAATAAAAAAGAAAAGAAAGAGTTCACAGATACTGTTCACCCGAGGGTTATGGCGCTTCTCTGTCCCTCATCAATATGTCAAAAATGTTTATTAATTTGCAAAAGCTGATCACTATATCCAAGCTAACTTCAAACTGACTATTTACCCACTCTGCGTCTAACTTAAGAGGTTCAAGTTCCATTCTCAACAAGAAAGAAAAATCCTTTTACAGTTCTACTCTCTTGAAGTTTTCTTCTGACAGCTATTCTCACGTACCCAACAAATGGCAAACAAATCTCTCTTCATATTTCCTTTGTCCTAAGGTGAAACTTCAATAGGAGGGGTTGCAAGTTCTGAGTTACTAGGCAGAAACATCAAATTATTCAATTTGGTTATTTATGTAATCACTAAGAAGCATATTCTAATGTACATGAATCTCACAGAATCCACAAAACGAGTGTTTTCCTAAGAATGTACTTAGGTTGCATGATGCTTTACTCCAACACATGCCGAACAATATTTGAAACTTGATACATTCAGATGAATCAGAACTATGAACACAGATCACAGGAAAACTGCATACATCTATTTAACCATTATATATTATTAGAATTAGAATACATAGACATGAGATGTTTGTAATCTTATCTAGGTTTCCTTCATCGTACATATCATAATCTGGCCTATGTTTGATATATGTCTTATAGCTATTAACAAATTGAATTTAGTAATCGGACATCAAAAGTGTCAACTAAATAGAAAGAACATGTTACATGATACGAACTTACTGGCTACCTTAATCACAGAGATTCAAAAGTTTCATCAACTTTTAGCAAACAATTGAGCAACAAGCAATTAGATGTAGCTAAAACATACCAGTAACTGATTTCCAGTGCCCTTATCATTGGCCTCTTTATTTGGAATATTTGATTCAAATTTCCTCACTGCTGAACTTCCATTCACTTCAAGTTGACGCAGCATTTCCGCAGCAACTGTTTCACTTCCCTGAGCACCAATATTGAGTTTTCCATGTTTTCAAAAGAAGATTACAAAATTTGCTTCAGAAAGATACCTGCCCAAGAAGTAATGAGCAAAAAGCTTCCTCAAACTTCAAATCCACACCCTCAGATGCAGTCAAGCACTCACAAATGGTTTTGGCTTTGTTGACCTCCATAACCAAAACTAGAGTCAGTGAGTTACAAGATCACAGCAAGATCTAAGGGTTATTAACATCAGTTAGGAGAAGATACCAAATCAGTTTGTCTTAATGAAAATCCAAGAGCTATATGCGCAATCATGGCGATATAGAAGCAATCAAAATCAATCACAACCCTTTGGTTCTGAGATTCTAGTGATTTTTTGTTCTTGCGAGCAATGGCTACAGCATCCCAAGAGATTAGATCTACTATTTCAGTGGCCATTAGCTTTCTCAGTGCCTGGTCCAAAAAGCAAGGCCAGTCTTGAACCCTACAAGAACTTTCAACATCAAGACCTTGTCTAAGCAACTCACGCAAGGCTGAAATTGCACCTCGTCTGCGCTCTGCATTATCAGGCGTATGAGGAACTCCTAAGAGTTCCAGTGTGCAAGCAGGTGCAAGCTCCTCCAAAGATTCTTCAATCTGTAACCATATCAAATACATTCCATTATTTTCAGAAAGTAATAAAAGAACAAAACATCATCAAAACCTTTATCCCAAATGTTTGGGGTCCGCTACATGAATCCTATTCTTCCATTCCATTCTATTATGGAACATCTCCTCAGTTAAGTTAATCATCATCAAGTAGTAAAACTGGAACTGAAAAGCTTTGTAAGGAAAGACATTTGCCTGTGATAGAAGTGGCATTTTTCCTAAAGAAATTTTGCTCCTAAGTAAATATTGAGCGCGAGCCAGGGCTTCAAATCCATCAGATACTTTGTTTTTCTCAAGCCTAATCTTTGCAACTGAGCACTTCAAGAACACAAATTTAAACAATTAATATTTAAAGCAATGTGAAAACGTTACAAGTCAACGGAATTACTCCTCTCTCGCTTGTATTGCTTACTTCTGCAAGTGCCATGGAGAGAAGCAAATCATGAACATATGGCTTAGCATCTGGCAGGTGTAGGGCAGCCCGGCCAATTTCCAGTACTGATTTCTCTTGTCCAACCTGCAACAGAAGTTGAAATTGCGCATAAACCTTGAGTAGCATAAGAGACAAATCACACAATAAATATCGACAAAGACAGTTGGAGACCTACACAATTTTCAATATAAAGAAATCATCGCTTTTTTCACACACAACCTGATTGTTCGTGCAAAATATTACGTTATCAGTGAATGCTTTACTTTGGTAAATGGAATACTTCTAAATTTCAAGAATCACACATCTGGAACCCCATAGCTTGATACTGATAATAAACCGTACACTTCAACACTCCAAATTAAACATTGACAAGTATACAAGGATCATGTTCCCAAGGAGACTCAACATATGTAGCCAATATGCTCAAAAAATTTATTCCAGAAAAGAGGCCAGTCTCAATCAGACTTGGTCAACTGCAACACGGACTATCCTCCGCATATGCAAATCCCAAGTGCTTGAAGCAGTAAATTTAACAACTGTTATAGAACTTGTAAAATTAATTTTCCATAAAGAGACTTTTTCTTATAATCTTATTCATCAAAAAAGCCCATAAAAAGGATGAGAAATTGTGTAGATCTATATACTGTTTCTGAAATAATAAGATGCCTTTTTGGAATGTTATAGACTTAATTGATGGTTTAGATTCCAACCTATTAAAAGTACACCATGGATCTGATCTTAAACTTTCACAACAATCAGACCATTAGCTGTCCGAGACTTAAAGTATCTAATATGGGTTGGATTCTTGATTTGTTTGTGTCAAAACATGGACTTAATCATCATAGCATTCAAATCCTCTCTCTTTCTTAGGTTCTCTTACTGGTTTGTTTTAATGGCTAGCGCATGGCTAGGTGACGGTCATTCCCTTGTGTATTTATGCTTATCTAATCAACTCATAGCTCCTGGTTGCTTGGTACCTGTTCTATTCACAGAATCGCGATTAGCATTTTGCTAAGCAGTGATCTCTCTTTCCAATTTTACCTATATACTCCTGTGTACGAACAGGTGTTAACCAATAAAAGGCTGAGAAATAGCTTTGATAAGTTATTATCATTTCTCTTAGAGACTTCGTGCAATGATCAAAAGAGAAACAAAGGGGAAAAATAATCAGGTTGGTTTTCAATAAATTCTGACTGCTTCACCTATCATGGGCTCATAAAACACTACTTCAATGTGCATGCTTACTCGGGTAAAAGAAAAAACAGTCAATTTAGTTTATAATTATGTATATATCCCTTTAGTACCTGTTTTCCCCATAAAAAGACATTGCATAAAAAACATGTTCTCATTTACTTGTGCAGACATGTTTACCTCCTGCAGAAGGCAAAGAGCACCTGGTAACCATGACCAAGGTATACGAAGAGAAGATCTTGGTGGAATCTTATCTTTCAAATTGCCAGCATATTCTGGTTCAAAAAGAATCTTGTCCCTCACATCCACCAAGAGCTCCTATGAACAAGAATCACAAAGTATCAATCAGATTTCTCTTTTTCTTAAATAATTCTTTTGTTTCAAGAGGTAATTGCAATGCAGCTCGAATTGTACGCCATTTATCAAATACCTGGCGAGAGACAATGGCATCTGGTGTATATCCATCCTCAATCTCTGAGTTTTTCAGTACCATAGCTGCTTTAACAACCTCATCCTTTTCAGCTTTCTCAGGGACACCTAAAATCTGTAATTTAAGTTGTTCATCAATAAAGGACTTGAGTATTTGACTTCACATAAAAAATGATTTGACCAACAAACAACTTTAAACAACCAGGAAAGTACACTAGATAGATTCATTCCAGATATTATAAAACCGAAAACATCAATAGCCTACAGTAAGAGCTGGTGGTACACTTGTGACTTGTGTAAAACGAGAATAGTGATACAGAGTTGTCAAATGCTTAACAAGTAGCACAAGCATTGTCAGAAGCAAACTTCAGCTCTCAGCAGCAGAATGACTTTTTTCAAGAGAGAAAGTGAAGGGAAAACAAGAATTTTTTTTCTTTTCAGGACAAGAAATTAGAAAAAATGTATAAAAATCCCTCATAAGATCCATACTCTTGAAAATAAATATCATCTGTGTTCTTCAAATTGAGTGGCTAAAATATTCAGTTGCAAAGGAAAAGGCGAAATATGAAGAAGGAAAAAAAGGTCAAAATGGAGAATGTTCCCATAATTGCTTCCAGGGATGTTGTCTCAGGGTTCTGAGAGACACCCATTGAAGTCAATTTTACCTTGAAACATTTCTCTGCTAAAATCTGGACAGATAAATTTGAAGAATGGAGAGCATGGCAATTTATTTTCTTATGTATCTCTTATGCTCTTCGTAATTATATAACTATCCAAAACCCTCATAAAGACAACCTTTTCTTAACCTCTCTGAAAGACCAGAACTAGGTATTCTTTTGTGTTGAGCAGGTCATCTCCATTCTACAGCTGAGTATGTTATTATTAAAATAAACCCTAGAGTTTTTGTAATGCAGTTTTGTATTATTCTTCCGTCTTAAACTCATCGTAAGCAAGATCAAGGTTCACAAACGTTCTCATTAAATAGGTAGAAACAAACAGTGAATACTGCATTAGCTTGCTTTAAAGTGAAAAACTTTCAACAAGAGGATAAAAACAGCAAGACCGCCCTTCATGCATGATTTGAGAAGACAACTGAGAAGGCATCAACCAACAAAGATTTGGATTTTGCAGGGTTATGCAAGATGAATGAAACTTTTTGTTGAAGAGAAATTGCGTAAGACGACTACAAGAACATGCATACAGCTCAAAAACAGTGTGCATCTCTTCAGTGATTTCTTGGAATACTACTCGCACACTATATGCACTAATGTCGTTTTCCCGCCCCTATGGTATGCAAGTATATATATGGGGATGCTCTGATAAAATCTCTATCATATGATAACGATATGTAAGTATAGGTTGCTCACCAACATTTTGTTACAGCTTATTCATCGGTGCCCAAACTCTAGAGTTCTAATTCTTTGATGCTCAAACTTATGAAAGAAATCAATTATGTTCATCTTGGTCTAACTTTCTTAGTCGTATGACAGGGTGTGACAATTTGATTATGTCCTGAGCTTCTACCACATTATTGTACTTGTTTTAAATTAAACTCAAAACATCCACGATAACATCACACTTCAGTTAGCACAAACTCAAAATTAGTCAAAATTTTAGATAGTTCGATAACCTGATAACAAGTGACTGGGATCTCAACGACCGACCCCAGCTTCTGACCGCTCTCTACTTGCCGCCGGCGGTCGGCGGCGCCGGCGCCGGGCGACTTCCACAGCCTTCAGCCTCGCCCATGCCTTCACCTCCCTGCGATCCAATCGAGATCCTACTTCAAAAATACGGCCGGTAACTTCACGGCCCGTCAAAACTTCACCGTATAAAGCCAAGGCCAAACCCTTTCGCCTCTCTACGACGTCATTGCCCAACCCAGGACGAGATGGAGATAGGCTAAGCACGAGATGAGCCAATGCCATGAGTCGATTAAAGGTCAGGGTTAGGGTTAAGGTTAGGGCTAGGGTTTTGTGTGAATTGAGCGGATTTGGAGAGAGGAGAGAGGAAAAGGGGAAGAAATCATGGCGGGGGGCTCAAATTTAGTGGATACCAAGAGTGCATCAGAAGAAAAATTAAAGGAGAAAAAGTTTTTGGAGAAAAAAGGAAAAAATAAGATGAAGTTATAAAAGTTAAAGTAAATACTACTTTAGGGCGTATTTACCGATAAAACATATCACCGGCTGTATTGATTTTAGGTTTTTCTCTTTTTTTTCTTTTTTTCTTTTTTCTCCTATATATTTTTGGACAAATTTCAAAACGGTCCTATTTACAAAAATATTTTTAAAAAACGACCCGTTTCAACAATATTCGTCAAAACCGACCTAGTTTCAGCTGTCGGTCTGAAACTAAGTCGGTTTTGACGAAAAAAATTATGAAACTTCACGGGACTTCAAGTCCTGTGAAGTTTAGCAGCCATTTAACTATAAGTTGCTAAATTTCACGGGGCTTGCTAAGCTGCTAAACTTCACGGGACTTGAAGTCCCGTGAAGTTTAGCAGCTTAATTAAATGGCTGTTACACTTTACGGGACTTCAAGTCCCTGTGATGTTTGAGAACTTCTTTCGTCAAAACCGAGTTGACAAATATTGTTGAAACATGTCGGTTTTTGGAAATATTTTTGAAAAAGGATTGGTTTTAAAAATTTGTCCTATATTTTTTGCATGACATTAGCTTATATTTTCGCTTTTCAATATTTAGCATCAAGTCATTTAATAGGACAAATTTTCAAAATAGACCTCTTTGAAAATTTATTTTTAAAAAACGATCCCTTTTGAAAATAGTTGTCATTTTCGATCCAGTTTTAGCAACCTGACTAAAACTGGGTCAAAAGTAGCGAAAAAACATCAAAAACTTCACGGGGTTTAAAATCCTGTGAAGTTTTTAATGTTTTTTCACCATTTTCAACCCAGTTTCAGCTAGGTGGCTGAAACTGGGTCGAAAATAACAAATAATTTCAAAAGGTGTCGTTTTTTGAAAATAAGTTTCTAAAGGGGTCTATTTTAAAATTTTATCCCATTTAATAATGATTCCTACGATATATCATGTGGTCCATAGATCAAAATATTCCGTGGATTGAATTTCACATTGACCGTATTGATCCATGGTGTGCGCTTAGGCAGAAGTTTTGTATAAATGTCCCCCTCCTCCCTTTACGAATCTAGGGATGTTACCTGCTAACTAATTAGTTAAAGGGTGAAAAATAAGAGCTAGTGAATTTACAGATGAAAATCGTCCAAATCATATTCCATTTTCAGACTCGTAATTATTATGTTGGTTTTGACTTGAAAATCCTATTTGGGAGCTCATGGACTTGGATTTGGGAACGCCAGTGTCGTATAGGGCAGGGGAGCTTTTTGAGAATGAACAATTTTTCAAAACAGCCCCATTTAGAGTTTTTTTTTTCAAAATCGACCGGTTTTTTTTATTTATCAAAACCAACCTGATTTTTTGATTAACCGGCTAATCACCTTCCTAAATAGTCGGGGTTGGCAACCCTGACTATTTAGGACCTTAATTTTTAGTGTTTAAGGTCTTTAATTAGGGTTTAATACCCTCCTAAATAGTCGGGGTTGGCAACCCCGACTATTTAGAATGGTGATTAGGCTGCTAATCACAAAATCGGGTCGGTTTTGATAAATAAAAAAAAACGGTCGATTTTGAAAAATAAAACTCTAAAGGGGTCTGTTTTAAAATTTTGTTCTTTTGAGAATACAATATATCAATATATGGTTATATTCAGAGTCCTAGTACATTAGTATATTCAAGGTATCAATGTGTGAATAGATTCATGAATTATGGTGTGCGCTTAAATCAAATATATCTCTGAATCTTATTAGATTTGCGTACTGACATAGTAAGCATTTGGTCCGAAAGTTGCTAATATATGGATAAGTTGTAAGGTATGATCTCTCAGTAATTGGCATTGCTATAAATTCAGAATATCCCAACATGTAAAAGTTAACAATGATTCAATCCGTTAAATTTTAGCATCGATGTGTTGATCTAAAGCATGTAGAAATAAAAATAAAAAAATATGCATGAGGTATAAGACAATATATGTAATAACTAGGACAAATTTTCAAAATACACCCTTTTCAACGTAGCTACGACTTATTTATCAAATTCAACATAGTTTCAGTCATGTCAACAACGTGGATTGAAACTGGGTCGAATTTGATAAATAAATTCTTAGAACTATATGAGATTGAGAATCATGTATGATTTAAAACTAAACAGGATTCTCAACTTCGTAGAGTTTAGATCTCTAGATCTCTAGTAAACTAGACGGGATCAAAAATCCCGTAACAACTAATAACATATAAATTACACATGATTCACAATCTCATGGTTATGAGATTCAGTGGTAAATAGCTCAAGAGTGTTAAGTAATAAATTGTTTTTATATGTTTAACTTCTAGATAGATAAATATAAAAATAAAATTAATGTTGATAATGATGCGATTCGAACTCAAGACTATTTGAGTAATCGAAATCTCTCTTGAAGTTAACAGTAACCGACTACATGGCATTGTAAATCCCATATAGTTTCTATGTTATGAATTACATAGGATTCTCAATCCTATATAGTTTAATAGAGTTCTAAACTTCTCGAGATTGAGAATCCCGTAAAGCTTTATTTACTAAACTACACGAAAGTCTCAATCTCGTAGAGTTCATAAAACATATTTCGCAATTTCAAAACTAAGTTTCAACCCACGTGGCTGAAATTAAGTCTCAATTGCTAAATAAATTACAACTGAGTCAATTTTGGTGATTAAATTTCGAACGGGGTCTATTTAAAAAATAAATTTATCCTAACGACTAATAGAGTGCAGGTTCTCGTGCGGGGCGTTTAAGTCACACATCGGCGCAAGGGGTAGTGATGGTATTTCACTGCCTCCTGTTCCTATCAGAACACCCCACGATGGGTTGTTCTGATAGGATTCACAATAGAGGTTTTTCTTCACCTGTAGAAGACTGAGGCACAAGTACTTTTTCGCCCAAAAACACAAATTACAGCTGAAAACAGGAGTGGAAATTATCCAAAATTACATGCTTCCTCATGAGAACAGTTTGCTAAACTTCACAAATTATATGTTACATATACTACATCAAATAATATTTCTAATAATTCAAATATAACATAACATTCTCCAGTCTTGAGAGAGGTAGAGCCTGAAAGTGTGATTCTGCAACAGTTTAATGTGACCAACATGGACTATGCTCTTGAAAGGATACAGAATCAGTGGGGTAATTTTCTGCAGGCCAAGGCTCTTATAGTTCTTATGGACATTTCCTCTGAATATATGATACACCATGCTCCTCGTACCTGAAATATTAGTCGTGTAAATTTTATTAGGCATAAGGTGCATGATTTGATCTCAGCAGAAAAACATCATACGGCATCCAAAACGCATATATGATAGCTCAATGCATTTGGTGCTTGATCCAAAAGAAATGATGGTTAAAAATGGGAAAGACCAAACTTACTCAGCTTTGGAGAACCACATTTGCTGAAAAGACCCGAGAGATGCCAGTATACTCCCTCCTATCCAAACGCTGTAAAAACAAGGTTATATAGAGAAAATAGCAACTATATAAATAAAAAAATAAAAAAAAAGGTGGAGACAAATCTATAACTGAAAATATGGCTGCCAATTGTTGATTTTTTGCAAGAGGATGGTGTTCCTGAAGTATGGTCTAATATTGTGCCTAGGGTGATTAGAAAATGGGGAGGCAAAGGGATTATATGCAAACTCAAAAGGGCTGCACTTGCTGCTAGTGTTTACTATGTGTGGAGAATGAGAAATGAGGTGATTTTTAAGAACATAAAGCCTGATACGAAGTTATATTTACAACAGATTGTATTCTTCTTAAAAATCCAAGTTAGTAGAGTTGACTACATGAAAGATACTCCTTCCAATAGGAGATGATGTCAACGACTTAAAATCTCTCCTACCTTCCTTTGAGATTTACTGAAGCAGGCGGAAGAGAGAGTCCCAGGTTGAGTTTGCTACTGAAGATTGATAACAATCTGTCTAGATATCTGTATAGGATTCATTTTGTTTGATGTAGTTGGTAGGTGATGATTCTATCACCTCGCTGTACATAGGAGTCTGTACTTTTATTTTTTTTCACTTGCGGTAAATAAAAGCTAAAAATCTTCACCAAAAAAAACTGTAGCTGAAAGAATTCCTTTTTTTTAATCTGACCAAAACAGGCTAATCATGATCATCGAAGGAATTCCATTTTTCCTGTGATGGAGGCAATCGGGAAACTACCAGAGGTTAGTTTTGGAATTCGCTATTACAATGGACTGTAGTATCTGGGTAGTTCGAAATGATGCACATCGTATTCTCGTGAGTAATGGTACTCAGTTTATGTGCATATGACTGCAATTTACGCATAAAACGTACAGTACTTATGTTGCAATCACTCTAAGTCATGCCAAAGGATCATATTTTTTACAGTAAGTATCATCAATGGACATGTCCAGAGGTAATCATTCATAAGATAGTCATGCATTAACAGTAACGTAAGAACATACAAGAACACAGACTACCAAGTTTTTTGTGTTGAACATGAAGAAATAACTACAGATGAAGAATTTTCTAAGTTACACAAGTGTAGGCTTCTCATAGATGAATAACAAGCACTTACAATGACTGATCCCCTCTTATGATGTCATCAGCATGTACAACAAAAAGGAATACCTCTGTAATTATATAACCAAATAGAAGAATTATCTGACTGCATCTCAAGCTCTCAGCCATTCTTTATTGTAAATACCGTGTTTGCTACATCAGCACGAGATTGGAGATACACTCTTCAGAAGGCCATAGAATTAGCTGATTGAAAGTGAGATAACGTGTCCAAGCCAAAAGCGATCAGAAAACACACACTACTCACAGTGCAAAAGAGAT